GCAGACTGTTGGGGGGGGGGGGGGGGGGGGAGTGCTGGGACTTGCAGTTCTATGGTGACAGCAGACCATTAAACCCTTCACACCCCTCAATAAGAGAGAAGATACCGCCATGGAGTATTCTGACCACTGCAAATATCAGAGCGTTATAGCTCAGCCCTCGGTCACAGACACGGAGGGTGGACGCATGCCAACTGCAAAGCCGGCGACTCTCCACCAACCCTACCCGCACCATGCATGCGCCATGATAACGGTTCATATATATACACGAGTATGTTACCGCTTCCTAAGGGAGGCCATGTACACGTTACCGCAGCCTCAGTAAAGACTTCGACACCCCAAGAAAGAGTCCCTGTCATCACATCACACACAGAGATAATCTGGCACCACCCTGCCCACTGCATAGTGCCCAAATCTCATCCTGGCTGGCTGATGTCTTCGCCCCCCGATGACGTAAGGCATTCATTGTAATCGGGGCAGCAAACTCCCTGAGGAAAGAAAAGTGCATTTAAAGGTGCCGACTTCTGTGCCCTTGTCTGCCTTTAACGGTGCCCATGCCTGCTTCTAAAAGTACGTCAGTGGATTCCTTTAAATGTGCCCAGTATTGTGCCCCTGCCTGCCTCTAAAGGAGCCCAGTATTGTGCCCCTGCCTGCCTCTAAAGGAGCCCAGTATTGTGCCCCTGCCTGCCTCTAAAGGTGCCCAGTATTGTGCCCCTGCCTGCCTCTAAAGGTGCCCAGTATTGTGCCCCTGCCTGCCTCTAAAGGTGCCCAGTATTGTGCCCCTGCCTGCCTCTAAAGGTGCCAACTTCTGTGCCCATGCCTGCTTCTAAATAAAGGAGCCCAGTATTGTGCCCCTCCCTGCCTCTAAAGGAGCCCAGTATTGTTCCCCTGCCTGCCTCTAAAGGTGCCCAGTATTGTGCCCCTGCCTGCCTCTAAAGGTGCCCAGTATTGTGCCTCTGCCTGCCTCTAAAGGTGCCCAGTATTGTGCCCCTGCCTGTTTTTAAAGGTGCCAACTTCTGTGTCCATGCCAGCTTCTAAAAGTAAGTCAGTGCATTCCTTTAAAGGTGCCCACTTCGGTGCCCATGCCCGCTTTTAAAGGTGCCCACTTCTGTGCCCATGCCTGCTTTTAAAGGTGCCCACTATTATGCCCATGTCTGCTTTTAAAGGTGCCCACTTCTGTGCCCATGACTCCTTCTAAAAGTACGTCAGTGCATTCCTTTAAAGGTACCCGCATCTGTGCCCATGTCCGCTTTTAAAGGTGCCCACTTCTGTGCCCATGCCTGCCCTTAAAGCTGCCCACTTCTGCACCCCTGCCTTTAAGGAGGTGCCCATTTCTGTGTCCCTAAATTCCTTTAAAAGGTGCTCAATCCAGGACCCGTGCCTCCAATTGCAGGTGCCCACTTCTGTGCCCGATTCTCCCTTTAAGGCCACAGCCCTATGCTGTGGAGCAGATGAGAGCTACACATCCGCATGGCGCTGCGGCTTTAAAGGGAGATGCGGGCACAAAGCTGGGTAAAGAAGTACGGGTGCAACACTGGGACAAAAGTCCAACAGGATGGCGCCAGAGGATAAGGGGGGGTAACCATCATTTTTTATTTCTATCACCAATAGCACTCAGCTCCCTTATTTGCACGTTATTTCACATTGGTGACAGGTTCTCTTTTAGCGACATTGGCGTCACCAACATTAAATATGGTGAAGAAGGGCACAAAGTAGAGACAATACAGATCAGAGCTGTCAGAGCACAGCCAAGCCAGACGACCCCCCCC